CCCCAAAACCCCAAAACCCCATAAGCAGATATTTGAATTAGATATTAAGAGATTTTTATTCAAGGAAATTAACAACTTTCATAATAATAATATTTTTGTCTATTAGATTTATCAAATTAACTTGCTAGATTAATCTCAAATACTTTTATTTGCAAATTATTCATATTTTAACTAGTAACCCCATTTTAGTAAGCTGCACACAATCTTTGATATCATCTCTCAAAATTCTCTTGTCTCTAAGAATTTACTGACTGTAGCTAGTTCTTTTATATGAGTAATTTCTCTCACTGTAATGCGCTGTTACATACTCAGGCTTGCTTAAACGGGGGAATACTTTTTTTATTTTCGAAGGATAAAAGTGACGTAAATAACCACATCTAAATTCTAAGTTACTAATTAGATCAGGATCTTAATCTTTTATTTCAACAGTCTCGTGATTATGGTAAATACTACAGACCTTCAAGTAAGATCTTTTACTAGGATTTTACTTTACCTTTTCTTTATACTCTACTTCAACATTCTTTTTATTGTATTTATTATCATCTTCTTATTTTTTATTTTTCTCTTTCATTTGTCTTCTTTCACGCTTCTTTTCATTTCTTATTCTAGACTTTACCAACACAACTTATTAGTTTTCAACTTCTTCCTCATCATCGCTATCCTTTACTTCTTCTGAAGTAGTCATTTACTCAATATCGTCCTATTATTTGAACTTAAGATACAATCTCTTTCTCTCATTCTTATCAACTAACTCCAAATCTTCTTCTTTCCTGTAAACTGCCATGCTTGTCTACTCGCAATCTTTGCATTTTTGAGAATTAGCATTATATGTAAAGCGAGAGGGAACAAAAGCTGTTTTATTTTTCAATGCTTTAGCTTCTTCAATCTATTGTTAATACTCGTGATACTACAGCATCATTTATTTTTGCCTCTTGCATTTATCACAGATAGTTGTTCTTTTGTAATCACAGGGAACTGGTCTGAAGTTCTCAAAAATTATGGCATCTTTAAAGGTTTTTTATTAAAAGGAACTGTATTTAATAGATTTATTAGTCTTCATTCCAAATCTACAAGGGGTTCGCTGGCCTTTCATTTATTTTTGATATTTTTTTCTGACTAAAACTAATAATTTTTCCATCATTTAAAAATATGATAACCAATAAAAATGTGGTATTATTGATTGATGGGGTTTTGGGGTTTTGGGG